GTAAAAAGCCCCGCGGGGCGGTGGGGGAGGCCCCGGTGCGGGATTGGGGTGTCTGGGGCTGAGGGGCCGGTGGGCTGTGAGGAAGGCAGCCCGTCCTCCTTCGTGGGCTCTGAGAGGGACGTGAAGGAGTGGGTTTGTCTCTCTTACAGGTACGTGTGGCGTCCTCTCGGTACCGGTAGCGTGGCCGGTGCTCCACGTCGTCGCGGTAGGTTACGGTTGCACCCCAACGCACCTAGGTGCATCTGTGTGCCTGTTGGCTGTGCCATCTTGGCAGCGCTTTACAGCTGCAGGGTACGTGAAGGCCAGCTAAACCATGGCACCTTCTTGCAGAATACACAGCTGTAGGTCACTGCTGTCTTTAGCGGCAGTATTATTTTGCTGCATGAGCAGCGCCAGCTCAAGTTATTTAGCTGTAACTGTCATCCTCCGTAGTTCAGCTCTCTGTTTTAGAAGATGCTGCTGTTTTCAAGCACTAATGGATGAATGCTTATACCTTACTATAAAGTACTGACACAAAAAGACTATGACACGTGGATTAAGGTGCCACTATGGTTATCGTAGAGCAAAACCTTGCTTGAAAGCTATAGAGCTTAATGAATTATCTCCGGTTCTCAAATGGAGTGGCATAATGGGGGTTTTAGCAAGGTGGTTTGTCAAGTGTTGATCAGACTCTCTTAAGCAAAGGATGAACTGTTCCTGTCAAGCCTATCCTTCTGTTTTCAAGATCCTAGTTTCCCAGTTGAACTTATACTGAATTTATACTGAAGTATAATCGTTGTTTCGTTTGGGTTGTTTTTTAACTCCTATTACTCTTCTACCTACAGTTTGTTCCCAGGATTTCTAATTCCTTAGATCAATGAAAAGGTAGATTAAGTTAGCTAGTGTTACAACAGAGGGGGAAAAAATATAACAAGGCTTACCTTGTTTATGATAGCACTGTTACATGAGCAATACACAAGAAATGATTTATTTTTATGTTTCCAGCAAGGAAATTCTTACCATTGGCAGGAGGGAGGAAAGCAAATATTATTCATTGGGCTTTAATGTTTAAAATCCTGTTTAACAGAGAATCATAGAATCATTAAGGTTGGAAAAGACCTCTAACATCATCGAGTCCAACCGTCAACCCGACACCACCATGCCCACTAAACCATGTCCCTAAGCGCCACATCTACACGCCTTTTAAATACTTCCAGGGATGGGGACTCAACCACTTCCCTGGGCAGCCTGTTCTGTGTTTAACCA